CCCAAGCTACCCGCATACAGCCCCAGCTAGCTCATTGTTTCTCCCGCATTTCCTATTCCCCTGGCCAGAAAAATAACGGGCCGGTATTGGAGGCAGCAGGGGTCATAAGGCGCCACTGGGTGGAGAACCTCCCCCTCCTCCCCTCCCTCCTCTCGGCCCCCCTTGTCACCCCCCGCAGTGCTCGAGGCCTGGAGATTGCCCGCCGAGAGGGTGGGGTCTCTCTGGCATGCCCACCCGGGCCCCGCCGGCCGCCCACCGGCCACTCCAATCTCAGCAATTACACTGGCAGAGAGTCACTCGCCACTCGCCCCCCGCAACTACGGCCTCGCAAGGTCTTTTTGTACAACGACATGATTGCCGCGGGGTGGTAAAAGAACTATACCACCTGCCAACATCTATACTTTTCTTTTTGCCTGTATGCTTTTGTTTGAGGAACTGCAGGATACGACTCTTGCACGAAGTATCTAGAATTGAAATGAAATGCACTGGTGAGCATACACACATTTAGGAATATCGAAAAGATGGAAAGAATGACGACCGAAACATTCCAGTATTATGACTTCACTTCTTTACTATTTCAGTATGCAGTCAAGTTTCTGTTCGGTGCGATACAAAGAGCGGCGGTCCCAGCCAATCCCAATTCGCGGAATCAAACCGTAGCGCGCTGCGGCGCGCCAGTCGTCAAACATTAAAGCGACGTCGGCCCTTCGCAGCCAAACTGGACCAAGCTGCGCCGGCGCCACCAGCGGGGTTCTTCACTGTCATTTCAATCGTATATACGAAGTTTTCCTTTTTTCCTGATTTGTTTCTCGATATTTCCATGTTATTTGTCCGATTTTCCAATCTTTTCTTGCTTTTTTGGATGAACTTTTCTTTGGTTTTTCTCAATTTCCACCCTGCGTTTTGGGAGTGGTGTACTCCTTGGCGCCTTACTTAGCAGGTCTAGCCGGTGACTGGAAGAGTGGCACTACCTCATCAGCTTTAGACGTCGACTGGAACAGAAAGTGGCAGCACCCCACACCCCATCATCCACTCCACCTTCGGCCCCTCGATTGAAACAACAGAACCATCACATTCACGAGCAATAATCGCTCACAAAGCCAACGTGCGTTAACACGGCGGCACGACAAACTCGGCGCGCGCGCGGGCACTCTGCCGAATAACTTTTACATTCCAATGATAATGATAAAAGTTGGCAAACAAGCAGACGAAATATAACGAAAGAAGAGCCGCTTGCTGGCTGCTGCTGGGGGGCGGACTGGAGTGCCTCGCCCCGGCCTATAGCCGCGCGCCCGGCAAGCCATTCGTAGTGTCTTTAATAATACTTTCTCTTAATGTTTCAGACTCTTGCCGGGAGGAGCCAACGGCTCGTGGGATATTAAAGAGAGCCGCCGACTCGGTAAACGCCGCCATGATTAGATCACGAGCTTCTCTCCTCCTCAGAGCACCACCAACAACATCGACAACAACTAGAACGCGATGGTCCGCGCGGCGGCACGAGGGCGTGGTGGCGGGCCGTGTTAGTTTCAATCCGCCTGCGTGTCGACTTTTTCGAGTAATTCCTAGGACGGACGAGACGAAGAGGGGAAACGTAATTGGTCTCTACAAAGACTAGAATTTCGCCCCCACAAATGTTGTTCCTGATTATTCAAGTTCATTTATCGTGAACTTCATTTTCTTGAGAATGCGTATGCGCTTTGTATTGAGAGAATTCAACTAGAAACAAGCCGCATGAACTCAAGAAAACCAAAGCCAACGGAAAATATACGATTTTCAAGAGCGCACTTTGAGGGGGGTGTTTCTTTCACATCATGTGGTATGCACGCACGGGTATGCAGGACGTCACTGCTGGTGTCTTGATAAGTGCTTGATTGATGTGGTTGATGGTGTGTCGCCCTGGCAGGAGCTGCTCTCCGGCCCTCCACAGCACGCGCTCCTTCCTGTCGTGCTCCCTTGCTATGCTATGCACAGCCGCGGTGGCACCACTGGGAAGGAGCATGAGGGAATTCGCTTCCGATAACCTCTACAAAATTCCAAAAGGGGAAAAAACGGAAAGAGGGGGGGGG